AGTACTCCAGACCTAAATCCATCAAAACCTTGATGAAAATCATTAAATCCCAGGGTACCAGGATTGCCAGGGAAACTACCTCTACCAAAAGATCCCAATGGAGTGGGATAACTAGGCCTTGGTCCAAAAAGCATGTTATCACCTTGTTGGTCAACATTAACTAACGTGGTTAGCTCTGGTTGTGAAACTGGCATAGGTGAACTAATATAAGGCATACTCGGAGGAACTAGCTGCTGATAATATGGTGGCCCAGAGAATGGAAATTGCTGGGGGGAATACAACTGTGCATCACCACCTACAGAAGGCAAAGGAGTTGTGACTGGAGAATATGGTCCATATGGCATTTGCGGATTGTAGCCATATCCAGTGTGGAAGACAAGTGATGGATTGTCATTGTAGACACCCTAATTAAGATAAAATATCACATAAAAAGACAGAAAACTTAATCGTTGAAAGAAACTCTACACAGATAGAAGGAGATATTCTCACTGGAGATCCAAGTTCCAGTCCTTCAGTATTGACGTATGGCGGATATTCATCCCATTCACCAGCAGGATTGTCATAACCTGCTTTCAAATTTGAAAAAGTCCCCAATGTTAATTTCTACTTCAAATATCTAGTGATTACAAACCAATAAATGCATTGCATTAGAGAAATCAAAAGGTTTCTCCTATCATTAGACAAACGGTCTTCTCCTTGCATAGTTATCAAAATATAGAAATACTCAAAAGTAACATGCACTACAATCTAGACAATTTGGTAAGACTTCGTATAAACAGGATTGACAAAATAAGAATAAATAAAAGAACTGAGCATCTTCAAATGTTTTCAACTATGATGGGTTTTGGCATTCAAATTCAAAAACTGCTGTTACACCAGCCTCAAAATGCAACCAGAAATTTCAACTGAAAGTTGTAAATACAAAGTTCAGCCAGACTGGTCCAGCCTTAAAATAGACCCAAGAGGCATGAAGACAGAAGATTAACCTCGGTAATAGAAAGCCTGAGCCTGAGGGGCATAGATTGTAGGAGAGTAGACGTTACGATCTCCACCTGAACCGAAGGATCCACACTGACCAGCACCATCCCTTGGATGACCTACTGGGGCAACATCCTGGGACGAATTAGGAGAAACTGACGTCTCATTTTTTGTCGAAAGAGGCTGTTAAAGAGAATAATAAATGAAGGTCATTAGTAAGAATATTTTCTTCATACTGTCTAACACAAACAAATGAAAAGAGAAAGAGCAATGTCAGTAACTCACAACTACCTGCTCCTTCACGTTTTCCGGATCAGCATGTTGGTCTTCTGCATCCATGATCAGTATGCTCAGTGACTAAGTACAGTCTTAGAAACACAGGCAGTACAAATTATTGACCAACCAAAGCTAAATTCGAGGATAGGTAAACTTGAAGCTATGAATATGTGCGCGCAAATCCACGCGTGCACACCTATGCACACATTATAAATAGAGAACATGAATATATTTTAAAGGTGAAAGTAGTTGCTTTACAATCATGCACATATCAACTCATTTTCTCTAAGTCAGAAGCAGAAACAAAATAGAAACAACATTTTGATTTTAGAAAATAGCACAAGGTCAAACATATACCATATAATGGGACTCAAAGACCAACAACCATTGCAATAAAACACAAAATTGCTTATCAAATTTCCAGGTAAACAGCCTAAGATTTTTTTAAATTAGTTTGTTGATAAATATGGGTTGAGGAAGTTCACTGGGACACCAAAGGCTACATTTTTCTTCAAAACTTCAATTGACCCTCTTTTGCAGCTCTGAATTAACTGTGCAATTCCCAGTCTTTGTAGCAAAGTAATATACAACTACATAATTCAACATTTTCAATAGTTCTATCCCATATCAACAATCAGGAAGAAAAGGCCAAAGGAAAAAAAATTAATATGACAAAAATAAGAGAATTTTGCAAAAATTCCTTCAATTAAGAAGACCCAGATCCCAGATCTTAACAGAAAGATCAAACCCTATCTCTTTAACTATAAACAAATCAAATCAAATCAAATCAAAACAACATAGGAGATCAATCAAAACCCTCAAAATTGAGACACGGTAAAAAATTAAATTTATAAATAATAAAAAAAGCAAATTGACCAATCAAATTCCAATTGACTTGTCATAAAAAAAAAATGAAACCCCACGAAATCAAAAGACCCAGAAACAAAAAAGAAGCTAGAGTTGAACCACAGAAAAAAACAAAAGATCAAAGATCAAAGGTAGAAGGAAATAGATTATGTGGTAATTGACGTACCAGAAGTACGATCTGGGGTTGCCGCCATGAATCTTCTGAAAAACAAAAAGGAAACAACCAAATAAAGGAAGATTGTCTTCAACAATCTAAAGCTACAGACTCAGTATCTTTTCTATTTCCGTTTCCATATATTTATTTGTTTATTTATATCTAAATTTTCCCCAAAAAGGGACAAAATAAAAACTGTCTTTGCTTTTTCTGCTTTTAATAATAGTTATACCTTTCATTAATTAAAAAAAAAAATTTCCTAAAATTGTAAATATTAGCAGTAAAAAAATAGATAAAACTTTTTCCTTTTTTTTTACCATTTTTTTTAATTTTTTTACCACTCTTTTTTAAACTTTTATGATTTTATTGCACCAAATAAATCTGCGAATTTCAACTTGCAAATAAGTTCTTATTCCAATCGAAAGTTTCAACTTTTGCTAATGTCTTTGAATTAATTTGCCACGTGAAAGATGATGTCGCTGAAAATTAAAATAATTTAATTAAATTATTTTAAATTATTTTTATTTTCAATATTTTTTTCTCAAATTTTATCCACATTATTAGGCCTCATCAAAACTAAATTTTTTATTTTTAGTGTTTTACGTATCATCAAGCAATGTCAGCTTTCATGTGAGGAAAAAAAAAACCAATTGATTGCAATAAAAATCAATTTTTCCTTCGAATCAAAGATTTTATTTAAATATAAATCGAAAATAAAATTTAGATAAAATTTATGAAACTTTTTTTAAAATGATTTAATAAAATATCAAAATAGATAGATTGATAAATTTCAATGTAAATATTAATAATATGTAAAAAAAAATTAAAAAATTATTTATAATTTAAATTTGATCAATATTTATTTAATAATAAAAATTTTAACAATAATTTTATTAAAAATATCTATTTAAAATATATCAAATTTTATTAAAATGTTTTTAGAATTTACATAATTGATTTATCTGATAACACATTTTAATATATCCATTTTGATTTTCAATTTTAATTTTTATTTAATTATTTTTAATTAAAAAATTTACAAATTTTACTTAAGAATCTTTATTTAAGTTTTTCCCATAAACTGAAGGTTAAAAGCTTTTTTTATAAAATAAAAATATAGAAATTTATCTAAAAATTTGATAAAGTTCAAGGATTTTTTATTATTTTAGTTTACATAAAATTACATAAAACATCATGTGTATATTATTAGAATGCTTGATTTTTATTTTCAATAATAAAATTTAAATATTGACAACTTCAAATATGAAAATAAATAAATAAAGATATTACCGTAAAAAGTTATACGTGCGAGATTTGGTTTGGTAAATTGCTTAACTTCATACTTTTTTGTCAATAGTTCATAGGAATTAAGGTGAATTTTGTAACTATATTACAATTTGTGTAGTGAATTTTTAATTGCACTTTCGATTTTTTTGAATTTTGAAAAAAATAAATAATGAAATTGGAATATTTATTATGTAAATATTTTACCATTCTACTTTTAATTTTGGTTTATTTTTAGTAAAAAACAACATTATCAAAATATTTAACAAAATATTTTTTTTAAAGGCCTATCGAATGATTGCTCTATCCGCCAAATTCAATCGGCTGAAGTCGGGTCTTAGATAAGGATTTCTAAATTGAAGTCCAACTCGATTATTATTTAATTAACAAAAAAAGTTTTACTTAATTGTAATTTAAATTTATAATTAAAAATTTATTTAAATATTTAATATTTTATTTTAATTAATCAAACTTTTAATATTTTATTTCGATTCCATTGAATGCTTAATTAAATAAAAAATAATTTAAATAATAAAATTGAATCAATTAATCATCAAATTATAATTAATCGAATCTTTAAATTAAAAAAAATTAAAAAAATAATTTTATTTAATTTTTATATATTATTAGCTTTGTCACGTGATAACTTTTTTATTTATTTTAGTGATGTTAAATGAAATTTTATATTAATTAATAAAAATTTAATGATGTTAATTTTTTATCTAAATAAGAATTTAATTAGATGTAAATAAATATTAGATGTGTTGATTGATTATAATAAAAAATAAAAACTTAATTAATATTTTAATTATAATTCAAAGATTTAAATTTTTTTAATTATAGTTAAGGAGTTTATGTCATTAAGATTAAAAAAATAAATAAATAGTGAGAATATTATGGTGGTCAAGATCCAATATGGTGAGTCGACTCAACCTATCTCACGCAACCTCGATTGGAGCGTTAATTGAGGTGTGGTGTGCAGCCTGCGATGTAGCTGGGCAATTGAGCAAAACAAGTGCCCGGCGTCACCGCACCTCGGCTCCAAATCCGAGGCCTTAGCTATTTGTGTTTTGGTTACGTTTGATGGTCATATGCATAAGCATTTTTAAGTTTAGTTTAATTTTTTTAATGTATCATGGTTTTGGGTTTTGTTCAATGTTCTTCTTGCCTTATATTCCTATAAGTTTTGGATTGTGATGTTATTATATTCCATACCTAAGAATTTTTATGAATTTGAGTGATTGCATTATAATTCAAGGATTTAATGCTTTTATTTATGGTTTATTTAATTTTATTGCTTAGGGAGCATGTTTAGGGTTTTTCCGTTCTTGCATAGAAGATACGTTATGCATATGTGCATGCGTTTGTTATGGTAGTTGACTTAAGTATATGGACAAAGTGCTATGATTTTTCAAGATTTTTCCGTCTAGCCCAAAACAAAACAACGGGATCGATAATATCCATGTAGTCTGAAGAAAGTGATTATTTCTATACCTCTTAAAGTGATAAAAAACCATTGCCTACGCGTTCTTTCTGTCTCTGGTCTGGTCATCTATTTCTAGATCTTCTCTTAACTGGTCGAATCTTCCAGTTGCTTTGCTTGAAAACATGGGTGTCGGTATGAAAACAATGGCCAATACAGTTGCAGTATTTGGGATGAAATCCTTCGTGTATGGGATAGTAGCTGAAAACAAAAAGGTTAACTTTGAGTCTCTTCGTTGTTTCTGACTGATAAACCGAAACTTTTTGTGCAATGTTGTGTTGTGGGTGACAAACTGGGTATATGTTATTTTGGTTTTATTCTATTGCAGCCACTATCTGGACAACCACAAATTTCGAGAGGAGCTGATCATATTATTTGCAAGTATCCATCTGACCCAACTGTCGTTCTAGGCTTCTTATCTATTGCATCACTTGCTGTATCAGTTTTGGTTGGATGTTACTCCGTTTTTTATCCTTACAAAGGAAAGTCTGTTCCTCGTTATGTTTTCTTCCGAAGCATGTCATTCTTCGTGTTTTTCCTGATCACTGTGTGAGTACATAACTATATCAACATTTTCTTCTTATTCTAAGCTCTTCATCAGTTACTGAAAGGTCTTGTTTTTGCCGGGCTGCTGGCAACCAGGGCACTGTCCTTTTTGGCTGCAGGGATGTTGTCTTGGGTAACGATCACCGAGCTCCTTCATTTAACTAACAATGTTCATAAAGACATGAACACAACATGCCCTACCGCCAAGTCTGGACTCTTAGGTGGTGCTGCTTTGATGGCCCTCAATGCTTCTCTCTTCTGGTTGATCTGCCTCATGCTTGCTGATGATGTCAGAACAGACTACTTTGAGGAACAAGACGACAGCAGAGCTCAGGTTTTCTCAACAGACTACAACGCCAAGCAGCAGAGCAAGGTTTGAGAGTAGTTCAGAAATGAAAAACAACTGGCCTGCTTTTTTTTATTATGCTTTCACGCCTCTTTCTAGTAAAAATATGAAAGAATGTATTGCAAACTCTTGGATGACTTCTTTCTTGACATATCGATTTACAGATACCTCTCTAAATTGATGAAATAATTAAATCTTGCACAACTTGGATTGAGGCACATGATGCACAATTCACTGGTTAAAGCCATCATATTTCTAGAATATTAGGAGCAACTGACTCTAATTTTTGTTTGCCAAAACAGTAAGCACCAGCGTCGTAATCCAACAAATGTGTGTGTGTGTGTATTTGGTACATGAAATAAGTGAAAAGGCTAACATGTGGCCCTAACTTTAGATTTTACTTTGATAATGAGGATGGGAATTTGAAAATACGAAGAAGAGCTGCGAAAGGAGAAAAGTGAAATGAATTAAAACGTTTTTCTCCCATTAGTATAGTTGGTATAGGAAAGATGGGAAAGAGAATTGAAAAAAGAAAAAAAAAAAAAAAAGCTGTTTTTCCATGGATTACCTGGTAGAATTCAAACGTGTGAGAAAATCAAATCAACAAAAAGTGAGAAGAAAACAAAAATCATGCTTATTTTATTTGTACACCTTTGTAAGTTGGGATATATAGACAAATTTTGAAAAGAAAAAGTGAACCACATTGTAAATTAGCAATATTTGACTCACATCTCTCTTTTTCTTTCTCATAATATATATTTCTTTTGGCAAAGTATAATCTTTCTAACTTGGAAGGATTAATATTTATTAATATGAAGAAGAAAATCAATCCTATTTTCTTTTCTCTTACTTTTTGGTCCAACAAATAAATAGCTAAAATGATTTTCTTTTCTCATTTTCATTCACCATTTACGGGCCTCCCAATGTTTCTCTCCTAAATGCAAAGCTTTAACCTCCTTTTCCACGATGGAAAGAGAACTTCTCAAGCATCACTATATAAAAAATGCCATTATTTGTTTTGACCTCTTTATGTTTTGTGTCTTTCCTTGCATCCCACTCCTATATTCCTTCAGTTTGTAAAGGACCTAAAATGCAGTCTACCTTGTGTTCCAAAATCATAAAAAGCTAATGTCTCTCCAAATATTAATTAGTTTAAAAGGGATGCTTAAGTTATTATCCAAATATTTGTTTCACTTTATCGCTAGTGCTAAAGAAGAGAAATAAAGCACCCAAAAAAGGAATTTAAGAGATAAAGATGACACTTACCAGTACATTCAGCTTATCTTCCAACTTTTAAGTTCTGGCTTTAGCTAGAATGAAATCTAATGTCGGCACTGGTACGTGGAACTGCTTTGCTTCATGACATGCATGCCATCAAAAGTGGAAGACATTGTTAGGTCCTTCGTAAGGAAACAGTATGGTTGGAACTGATTAGGGGCCAAACCAACCCCCCCCCCCCCCCACACACACACACACACCCCTTTCTTTTCTTTGAATAGTAATGCCAAAAGATAAATATAATATAATTGCACGATAAGATATTTAAAAGAAAATGAAAAGCGGCATGCTATTGAAGCCAAGTTCTTCTTCAATTTGTTTTATAATAAATGAACATGTTATGCAGAAGGGGCATGCCCTTGATATTTTAACTTAAAACAGATTGATTTGTTTGTTTTGAACTAGAAAAGCTATCACTCAAGTCCCGACCTTTGGTTTCTAATGGGAAAAGCAATACACATATGCCTGACACAAAAATTAATCTCAAACAGCATAATAGCAGCAGTTTGATGACATCCATGCACTAAACCTACTGCCACAAGAGGACATACTGTGAGAAAATACTTATTTATAACTGGTTATAATCTTGTAATTTGTATATTTATATTTGTATCTCTAAAATTAAGTCTTTAGTTTCTTAGTTTAACCCCTAGTTAGTTGTATATAAACTTAAAGTTCTTGTATAATTTTTTATGAGCAATTTTTCAATATACATTCAGTTTTTCTCTTAGTTTTCTATACAATTTTATTTTTTTAGTTTTTTCACATGGTATCAGAGCTTTAAGCTCTTCTTGGGAAGCAAAATTTTTAACCTTCATTGCTGACTTCTATTTTAGGCCTTCATTGCCGAACCTTTTCAAAGAAAGATATCACTACCACCCAATTTGAGGAAGTGTCAACTAAGAAAATCGTCGGAGTATTACAAATGTCTTGGAAACAAGGAGAGTTTGATAGGGAAGAGATTGAAAAGTTGAGAAACTTATTGAAAATCCTTGAAAAGCCTATTATGGTATGTTCCTTGGGTAAGGTCTCTAGTTTAGGTAAAGCTTCTAGTTCTTATGGATTAAATGTCTCGGTTAAGCCTATTACAAGTTCTTGGGTCATTGACTCAGAAGCCACAGACCATATGACACATTCCTCACAGAAGTTTAGTACATATACCCTATGTCCTAGTAATAAGAAAATTGTTGTTGCAGATGGTTCACTTACTACAGTGGCAGGATTAGGAGATGTTCAAGTTAATCCTTTGTTTGTTCTAAAAAATGTTCTTCATGTTCCTGGATTGTCTACTAATATGATATCTATACAGAAACTTACCAGATATATGAATTGTAAAATGACTTTTTCTCCCTTTTATTGTGATTTCAAGACCAGAGTTCAAGGAAAAAGATTGGACTTGCTAAAGAGAATGATAGACTATACTATCTTGAGACATCAAATAACACAAATAATATCAAGAATAGTTTATCTTTGTCATTTTTTTTTGAAAAATCTTCCAACAAAGACAAAATCTAGCTTTATCATTTTCGTCTTGGACATCCTTCTTTTGAAACTTTGAGAAACATGTTTCCTTATTTGTTCAAAGGATTAAATGTCGAAGATTTTCATTGTGATGTTTGCGAACTTGCAAAGCATAGATGTGTATCTTTTTCAATTAGTAACAAAAGAAGTTCTACTCCCTTTTACTTGATTCATAGTGACATTTGGGGTCCCTCTACAATTCTTAATATTTCTGGTGCAAGATGATTTGTTTCATTCATAGATGATTGTACCAGTGTCTCTTGGGTTTTTTTACTTAAATCCAAATCAGATGTGAACAGTATGTTTTTAAGTTTCCAAAACATGATCCAAACTCAATTTGGAATGCGAATCAAGATATTTAAGTCTAATAATGCAAAAGACTATTTCAACCAGAATCTATGCACCTATTTCCAAAAAGAGAGGATTATCCATGAGTCATCTTATGTTAATACTCCATAGTAGAATAAAGTAGCAGAGAGGAAAAACAGTCATTTACTAGCCACAATTTGAGCCTTTTTTTCAAGCAAATGTACCTAAATCTTACTAGAGGGAAGTTGTTCTTACTGCCACACACGTTATAAATAAGTTACCTTCAAGGGTTTTGAGATTTAAAACTCTTATGGAACTACTCTCACAATTCTATCCCAACCTTAATACCACAAACAATCTCACACCTAGGATATTTGGTTGTACATCATTTATTTATGTTCATAGTCATAACAGGGAAAAGTTGGATCTAAAAATGATTAAGTGTATCTTTGTGGGGTATTCCTCAACTCAAAAAGGATATAAATGTTATCATCCTCTTACAAAAAAATTCTATGTGTCTGCAGATGTCACTTTTGAATAAAGTAAATCATTACCTTATCTTCAGGGGGAGACTTCATTCATCGAAGATAAGGATAAAGACTTCTTTTTGCTTGATTTGTCCCCTTCTTCAACATTTTCACCCATTAATTCTTCTGAGTCGAAACATGTTTTTACTGAGCCCAAATCAAACACTAAATTTGAGTCTGAACCCATTCCAAATACAAAAGATGTGACAAAGAATAATATTATTCTTGATTCTATGAAGGAATTATAGGTGTAATCAAGAAGGAAAGTTTCAGATCCTGAACCAGTGCCAGTCCAAGAATCTGATGCTAACTCTGAAAATAAGGTAACTACAGTTTTTGACTCTGTTTCTCAAAATGAGTATGAATCTCCTAAAACTATAACTAGTGATTATGATCTGCCTATTACCATTAGGAAAGGAATCAGAGAATGTACTAAGCATCCACTATACCCAATCTCTAATTTTGTGTCATTTGAAAAATTCTCATAATCCCACAAAAATTTTCTTGTGAGCCTAAATACTATTTCTGTTCCAACTACATTATCCAAGGCATTATCTAGTGAAAAATGGAGGCAAGCGATGAAAATAGAAATTGAGGCCTTGGAGAAAAATCAAACATGGGAACTGGTAGAGTTGCCTAAAGGAAAAAATCCAGTAGGGTGTAAATGAGTTTTCACTGTAAAATACAAGGCAAATGGTATTGTTGAAAGGTATAAAGCCAGGTTAATGGCTAAGGGCTACATTCAAACTTATGGAGTAGATTATCAGGAAACCTCTACTCCAATTGCCAAGATGAATACAGTTAGGATTTTGTTATCATTGGCTTCAAATTACAATTGGTAACTTCAACAATTTGATGTAAAAAATATTTTTCTACATGGTGATTTGGAAGAAGAAATATATATGAAGGTTCCACCGAGATTTGAAAGTCATCTAGAAGCAAACAAAGTATGCAGGCTGAAAAAGACTTTATATGGCCTTAAACAGTATCCTAGGGCTTGGTTCGGGAAATTTGCTAGAATGATTCTAGTAATGGGATATAAACAAAGTCAAGGAGATCACACATTGTTTATCAAGCACTCTAATTCAGGGAGAGTCACAATTCTATTAGTGTATATTGATGATATAATTGTAACTAGAGATGATGAAAAAGAGAGAGAATCTCTAAAACAGTGTTTGGCTAGAGAATTTGAGATAAAAAAGCTAGGGAGATTGAAGTACTTACTAGGAATTGAAGTAGCTCACTCACGGCATGGTATCTTCATCTCACAACAGAAATATGTGATGGATCTTCTGAAGAAAATTGGAAAGCTCGTATGTAAATCTGTAAATACCCCTATAGATCATAATCATAAAATTGAAAAAGCTAATAAAGATACTGTTGTAGATAAAAAGATGTACCAAAGATTAGTTGGAAGACTTATTTATCTCTCACATACTAGATCTGATATAGCATATGTTATGAGTGTGATAAATCAATTTATGCAGTCCTAATGAAGTGCACTTACAGGCTGTCTACCGTTTATTGCACTATTTGAAGGCCAATCTTGGGAGA